CTGGAACGAAGGTGGAGAGGGAAGCGGCTGCGGCGCCGCGGCCGCGCCAGCTCGGCCGCCCATCCGGCTCTCGCTCCCGCCCGCACCCCGCAGTCCCTTCGGGCTTTGACCGCAGCTGTGCGGCGCTAAGGGCCAAAGGGCTCTCGGGTTGGGGGCGTCGTGGTCTCGGGAGCGTCAAATTACTGGCGTCCTCCGTGAATGCAACATGGCAGCTAGGGCTGGAAGACTGGGATCGTTCAGTCCTCCTGGGAGGCGGGGGCACGGACTCGGCAGAGCGCCCGGCGGCCGGTCTCCAGGCCGGGAGTCAGCCGTGTCAGCGCCCCCGCCTCCGAGCCGGGCTGAGCGGAGGGAGCCGCGCGCGCGGACTCGCCTCGCCCTCGCTCCTCCGCCCTTTGTTCTCTACTCGGCAGGCACCTCACGCTTCGGGGGGTTTTCATGGAAATCCTCGAAGACTCGGCTGCCCGAGGTGGGGACCCCGCACCTTCTGGCACTCCACAGACATAACTGGCTCTCCTGGTCCCCGGGGGGCTCTGGGCGGAGCTGGAAGCCCCAGTGCAGGATCCTAACCCCACACTCCCCGCGGAGCCGCCTCTCGTCGGGTCGGCTGCTTCCCGCCAGGCCTCTGCTCGCCGTTTCCTCTCCTCACATCGGGGAGGTGCGAGGTGGGAGACCAGGGAAGGGACACGGCAGGGCCAAGAGGCAATGCCCGTCACGAGCCCAAATGAGATTCTCCGCACTGAGGAAAGCTGCGGGCTCAGCATCGCCCCAGTCTCGGAAAAGCGGGGCGGAAAACGTCCCTTTAGGGCTGGCTGGGCTCCCCGGCGCTTCACACTGGCCCTTGGGCACGGGCCACGGGTGGAGCCCCGAGGGAAGATGGCCCAGCCCACCCTGGGTCGAGGGGCCGGGCCTTCCACCGGAGTGCAGGAGGCGGGTTTAGTGTCCCCAGAGGAGAAAGGATGGGGGAAATTTGCATTTTGTACAACTGTGGTTAAAAAATGACTATGCCACGTAGACCAGCCAGTTGTGACGTTCAGCACAACGTGCTACTGAAATACCGAAATCCGCCACCAAATGGCGGCTCCTGCAGCCTGCTGCACTGATAAAGAGGACTCGCCCAGCGTCGCCCATTTTAGGCCGCTTTCACTTCGCCGCCGTTTCACCGGCCCCCTCCGCAAGTCGTTCCTTCCTCTCCCCGTTTTAGAGCATACGTGGGACTCCCGAGTCAGAGAAGCGTTTACGCCCTGGGGACCCGTTAGGCGCGGGCTCTGCAGGAAGCCGGCGGCGTCCTGGCTGCTTTCAGAGGCGACGATCCAGCCTCGGCCCGCCCGCCCCTCTGTCCGGCCCCGACGCGAGTCCGTCCGGCTCCCAGGTTCGCCCTGCCCCGAATCCACTGGGGTGTCGCCTTTGGGTCCCAAGGCGTGACCGTTTGCCCAGATCTTGAGATTCCTGCCGCGTAGCCACCGCCTCATCACTGTCACCCCGTCAAGGTTCCTTCTCAGGCGATTAGTGCACGTTCTTCTTATTAATCAAGCCCAGCAGGAGGACCCTGTCCTGTACGCCTTTCCAGTCACCGCGCATGAAGTCGCCTTCAGCCTCTGGGATAGCAGATTTATATTTGTTAATAATTTTGTTTAAAATCCATCCAACAAAACCCCAAACTCCAAGGACACCTCGTGATCGAAGAAGTAAGGGCACTGGATTCGAAGCGAGAGGGAAGGGAAGAGGACAATGACAGGCGATCATCGGGCTTGGCTCCCACTAGATCGCGCGTCTGTGGGCTCGGCCGCTGCCTCCCCGGGTGTCCGTCGGCTTCCTGCCCCGCTGAGCTCGGGGACCAGGGCCCGTCGCCGCCAGTGTGGAAGGCTTCGGCAGGAAGGGGGCCACGTTGGGAGGTGGCGCGCACCCCAGTTGTCGCCGCCACTTTCCCGGGGGTCCCACTTTGGAGAACGACGTCGTTCCTCCGCCTTTCAAGCCTGGTAGAGCCTGACAATCGAGCTTTCAAATTTGGCGGGATCCGAGTACGCAGAGCGAGTGGCGCACGCGCAAAATGGCCTCCCGGTGCCCCGCGGCCTGGGCTAGCGCGCCTGGCAAGGCCGAACCCGGCGGCGCCGACGCGAGTGGAGGGCGCAGCTGTCTCTCTCTCTACTCCTCAGAGAGCCGCTAGTTAAAACTTAAGGGACGGCAGGAGGGCCGCTTACTCCTTAACGTGTCCTTCTGGTAAAGGCGCCCTGACCCGGAAGGCAGCCCTGCGGGAAGAAGCGAGGTCGAGGTCGTTTCCTCCAGGCGGGCGCCCTGTGCCTTTTCCATCGAGATCTAGAGCCTAAGAAACCTTTTGTGTGGAAAGCCGTGGCGCTGCCCACCCTAACACCCTTGCCCCGGCTTCGTCTTCCACGCCGAGCAGTGCGCTCCTGTCTTCTGCTTTGTTGGAATAGCTTACATTCCTGAAGGCATTTAGACCTAAGACTCCTGGACAGACTTCTCTATCTGCAATAACCTCTTAATCCATCTCAATAACCTCTTAATCCATCTCTGTAACATTTTCACTCCTTCCATCCCAATTTACAGCGCGTTTCCCGAGTACACTGGTCTGCAGCCTTCTAAGTCTCTTCTCTTACTTTGGGTTGTAGCTAATTTAGGAGGACAGAGAATTGGAGATCTCCGAATCGGCGCCGACCTCGAATCTCTTTCACCTTGGAGTTTGGATTTTATGATGACCCCAACGACAACAACAACAAAAAGCGCTCACTATCTATATGGAGGGCCAAATGAAAGATCGGGATGAGTTTTCCACTTGAACTTCTTCAGAAAATTCACAGGATCCTAGAGTAGCCATTCCAGTGATAAATGACTTTTGATGTCGTCGACTTGATGAAGATAGTGAAGTTCTTCATGTGAGACCTCTAGAAATTGCACACTAAGAAAAAGAAACCTGTGCAAATAAAGGAAATCCGTTTCAAGAACCAAAAGAAGAAAAAAAAAAAAAAACGTTAAAAAAAATTAACTGCGGAAACAGGAAACACTCGACCGTGTAAACATTTTCGGAGACTTTCATAATCAAAACTGGGCGATCTTGAGATTTGCAGGGAGATCGGCTGGCTCAAGGTCCTCGCGGGGGTGCTTCCCAAGTTTGATTTACTGGGAGGGTGGAATATGTGATAGTTTCTATCCTGATGAAGAACCCGTCCATCTGTAGTCCCAGTTAAGTTCAAGGGTGTTTTTTTGTTTTATATTTGGAGGAATCAGAATCTTTTTTGGAGCGACCTGTTGTAGTGTTGATTTTATATATATATGAAGAAACATTCTCAAGTGAAATGACTTATTTAACCCAAGAGCTTTATGTTGGGGTGGGGTTCTGTACTCTTTGCACCATACTGATGACTTAAAGACGCATATGGTTCTTCAAAAGGGTTTAATTACTTAACTATTAGAAGATGCACAGATCTCAAATGATAAAAGTCTAGTCATTTTAAATGTGATTTATTAAGGCCTTTTTGTTTTGATAAAATATGAAGAGGATTATTTCAAAAATACGGTGGAGTCTCCATTTTATGTAAATACTAAACCAAATCAGAATTTCCGACTGACATTTCT